AATTTTTTCGGGAAAAAAAAAAAAAAAAAAAAAAAAGAGAAAGAGAAAAATCTGACGATTCGAGGTCGCGTACGTGTTCCACGTGCAACAGCAAAAAGAAAAAAGAAAGAAAAACAAAAAGAAAGAGAGAAAGAGAGAGAGAGAGAGAGAGAGAGAAACGCAATTAAGGACGTGATAAGAACGTGACGGAAAAAGAGAGTGACGAAAATACGACGAAAAGGGAGGAAACGGGAGAATTGAAAGGGTTTGCAACGTGAAAGCAAAGGAGAAAGAAAAAAAAACAGCCATGTATAATGTTACATCGTGATTGGTCATTGCTCTCCGATATGAATATCACTGTTATTATTAAAATGGTCGATTAGACGAGCACATTGTGTGTATATGTATATATATAGATACTATATATAAATACTATATATAGTATTTCATCAATTCATTTTTTTTTTTAATATTTTTTATTTCGTTTTTCTTTTTCTTTTTTTTTTTTTTTTCATTAATTTCGGTTTCGTTCGTTCTTTGGTCAGGTTAACTTGCGGCAAATTGATCGAACTTCGCAACTTCGTAAACGGTTCCGGTTCTGGACGTTTAAGCATTGCCCTGAAAATGAAAAATGAAATAGCCGAATTAGTAGCGGGAACGCGTGGCAGTTGCGCGGGAGAACAATTATCGAGAATATTCAAAAAACAAGGGGTGTTTGGGGGGAGGGAGGGGGGGGGAGAGGAAAACGAAAATGTAGGGAAGAGTGAAAAATAAAGATGATGAATGCAGCTGCGTCGCGATCGATCCTGCACGCCGTTCCCGGCCATTCTTTCTAACTTCGAGGAAAGACATAAGCGATTCTAATGCGTAGGAAATGTACAGGGTGATTCAGAAAAGGTGATACAATTTTCCTCTAGGTGAGATGAGAAGAAAAATGCAAATGAATTTTATGCCGTGCTTTACTTTGAAAAACAAGTAATACTTTTGTTTTTGGTTTTGTCTCTTCTAAAATGGATAAAGATTCGTTTTGGCCTTGGAAAGATACTTTGGTTTTATTCCATTGTTGTTTCTAACACGTGTTGTTGTGAAACATAGAAGTGAAGTAAAAAAGTGTGATGAAGAATTGAAAATTGTACAATAGGACACATTAGTGTGTAAAAAAAGAATACAAATAAATCTTACATTTTTGGGAATTAGTATATCTTCTTGTTTTTTTTTTATTTTATTTTACTTGTTTATATATTGCAGGTTAAATTAAAAAAAAATATATATATATATATATTGGAATATATCATGATACATTTAATGTGAGAGTCATTGAATTGAATGTAATTGGTGTAATCCGGTTTGTATTTAAATTTAGTATATAATGTGAATATTAGATACATATAGTGAATAAAGTCTGAACATCTGAACTGAATTTTATAATTTTCGAGATATACACGCATTTTTTCATCTTTTGAGCTGAAAAAGCTGTTCAAATATATATTGTTCGCCAAGAATTTCTGACTTCACCTAGAGAAATCTTCAAAATCACCCTGTATGTCTCAATGTACAAGAATTTCAAAGAGAACAGTACACTCTTGACGATTCTTGACGATTCAATCCTGAACTGGAAATACAAGATGAAACTTTTCTAACAGAATGTGTCGAACACATCGGGAAAGAAAATATACTTTGATATACAGGATGTCCCTGTGATCGTGATGCAAGCGATTAGAGAATGATTCCACGTGTGAAAAAAAAAAAAAAAATAAGTCAGAAAGGATGAATGAAATACACATTTTCGTATACATAGTTATACGTTTAGTCAAGAATTCTTGTATTCTTCTGTTCATTGTTCATTTCCAATTGACTTTGGAATTAGCTGGATTTTATTAGCTGAGTATTAGGTGAATTTTGAAACTGGAAGTGAAGCCTTAAAAAAATGAAAAAAAAAAAAAAAGAAGGGAAATTCTTTCTTTTCGACTTACTTTTGCGTGTAGAATCATTCCGAGGCCGGTTCTATCACGATCATAGGGACACGCTGTATAAATATAGAAAAAGAAATCCATAGATGCATCGCAGATAAAGAAAGATCAGAGAAATAACAAATATGTTGTTTGTTTCAGACAAAACAAATATGCATTTTATTATTACCAATAAATATGTATATTTCATTAGTAAATAGCGTAATAATAATCACTCTCCAGTCAAAGCTCCGAGAGTCACGCTTCGAAATTTCGAGGAATTTCAAAAATGTCGAAAAAAAAACTCCCGACAATAATTCATTCATCCCATCTCTCCAGTTAGGTTTAGGATTGAAAATCGTCACGAACTAAAAAACTCGTTTGTTTGTCTATTCTCAGTGCTAATCTCTAAGTCATCTAATTCAAACGTTGAAAAAAGAAATTTTAAATAATTCAAAAAAAGAAAAAGAAAACAACTACGGTGTTATATTATTCCTCTATAGCAAACGATTCATGCTTGTGTAAGTATAACAGATGTTGCAACTATAGCACAGAGTGGATGTGTCGCCACAAGGCAAAAGTTTCTCATCTTTCTGAAAAAGAATTTCTCCATTTCTTTTCTCCCTTTTTCTTTTTTTTTTTTTTCTTTCACTGTGAGAATGATGTCAGCCCCTTGTATATACAATATCTAGTCTTCTGGTATGAATCATTGTCTCGATTTGAATAAAAAAAAAAAAAAACAAGAAAACAAATTCTGATCTTACGGAATTTGAAACTTTAATTCATTAAATTGAATACTATGGCCTCAAAGGTGTAAGTTGATCATAGCGTCAGAAAAGATTAACAAATACAAATGATACAAGGTGTCGCCAATTAATCGAAAATACAGGAAAAAAAACTTTCTCGAGTGCTTCGTTTGAAAATTTATATTAATTCCAGACTAGATATACTTCAACTAACTCTCGAACGCGGAAGAGAAGAACAATTAATAGAAAAGCGTCCTATATTCAAAAACAAATAAAAAATGTGAAATAAAATTCCTTCACTCTCATTTTTAAGAAACTAAACTAAATGTATTTCCTTAAAAATCGTTTCGTGTACTTGACAAATTTTCATACATCGTATTTCCGCGTGGAAAAATTTTTATTTTCAAATGTAGAGTTCATATATCCTGGTTGTACCACGATTTAAAAAAAAACACCTTATATAACGTTTGCAGAAATTACGATAACCAATGGCTCGTCCAAGATCTTGCTGATCTCATCGTAAGATCAACAAGATTTTGTCGCAAGACAAGGGGTCCAACAAATGAAAGCGAACGTCGAGAGAGAAGGAAATTCGGTCTCGGGAGATGAAAAAATTTTGCCTTGCCTCAGAAGGGGAAAAGTTTCGAATGTTTCGTCAGCAGAGGCCACGATCGATCCCACCGAAGACCAAAGAAAATTGCTGGCGATGAATTTCATCCTCCGATCCGTGAGAAACGATCCACGGATGGCCACACGAGTTACGCGCAAGATAAATACGAATTCTCACTGATTCCTCTTTCGAAAACTTTCGAAAACTTTCCCCCTCTCGCTGCCTCTGTCCACGTCACGTTCCAGTTGAATTTTCACGTTTCCCTTTCGTTTCTTTTTTCTCCTCGCTTTTGCCTCCCGTGTTACACTGCCTGTTTCTACATTTTCTCGCGGTACACGCACACGCGGTTGATCGTATCGATGCGAGAGATGGAATAATTTTCGTCGGTGTTCCGCAACGATTCTGATGATTCAGACTCCATTTACTGGTCTCGTGTTGCAAATATTAAAACGTTATTTAAAGATCGATACATTGCAATTTATATTTGGCTACTAATTCAATTCATTTTCGTGCAACGTTCTCAATATTAATCACAGCTGCATTCGCAATATAAATAATAAAATTGTCAACTTGCAGTACAATGAATTTGATTTGATCGAATTTTTTATCATCGAAACTGCTTCGATGTGCGTGCGTTTCTTACGATCTTGCTGTTTAGCCAACAAAAATATCGATTGAAACTCTAGAGAATTCGAGAAACTTCGTCGATTCCCATTATTATAATTATCATAATTTCAAACATAATTATTATAATCTTTTTTTTTTTTCCACTACACGAATCACTCGTCAACAGTTACTGCGCCAAATCTCAACGAAAATCCAATTCCAATGTTGTATTTATGTATATTCACCGCTGATTCATATTAATCAGGGTTTTATTAATCAGACCTAATCAGGTACTCTATTCGTCGAAGAGCGCAGAGACCGCGACGAATCTGACGCGCATCAGAGACCAGTAAGCATCATCAAATGATCCGGCATTCCCTCGTTCCGCTTAATATTCCAAATGCAAACCGTTCGAAATTACCGCATTGACACGACCAAATGATAATGCAGCCTACACACGCTGAACATACATATTTTATGACGCAACAGCATCCTAATCTACATGATGCAGCTGACAATATGTGTGTATGTGCATCCTAGCGCACTGTAATACTGTCGTCGGTACACTGCGGATATTCGTGGTAATTCATAATACTTCGTATCATGTCAGTTTCATTGCATTATTTTATGTGACGTTATATTAATCTTCAATTCGTATTGCTATTGCACGAAATTATTATTATTATTATTATTATTATTATTATTATTATTATTCGTAATATTGTTGAAAATGTTATTCCGTATAATTACAATGTCCTTTTACGATCGTACTACTACTTACAAAAAGCATCGTAAATAATTATCATTTGCGAAAATTCATATTTTCATAAACTTGCATTATATCAATTAAAACACAGCACGACGTTATAATAATTTTATAGAGATCTGTTTCGTCACGGTAAAGTGCTGTTCTCTGTACTTATAATTGTACTTTGAAACAATTTTATGAAATTTTATTATAAATTTATTATAAAACAATTTTATTATAAATTTATTATAAAAATTTATTATAAATTTATTATAAAAATTTATTATAAATTTATTATAAATTTATTATAAAAAAAATTTATTATAAATTTAGAATAATCATTATCCGAGGAATATTCATATTTTCACAAATTTGTGTTGTATGAATTGAATCAATACGCTGTAGCATGATTGATATCGTGTATATTAATTTTGAATTCGTATTATTTTACATAAGCAGAGATTTCTTTTATCGACAAAATCTTATTTTGTATAATTGGAATAATTATGAAGGAAAAAAGCAGCATTCTGACTATCGCTAACAAAATAACTACAATTTCTCGTACATAGTAGAATCAATAGACCAATCTGTTTTTGCATGAATAAAATTTGTACATTTCAAGCTTGACTTTTCAATGTATTATAAATACCCGCAGTATGAGAAATGAGAAATACTCTCCTGATTCATTGATCGTGATGCAGCAACCAACGTGGAGAATTTTTCAGTTTCCTTTTTTTTCTGTCTCCCCGTTTTAAATATGCAGCGCGGATCAATGTAATGCACTGCGGTATGTTTCAGTCTGTGTAGGCCTTGGTTTAACCCCGCTACGTACTCCCTCGCCGTCGTTATAATTTGTTTAAAAGATGTTACGTGCATCTTAGTGATTAATCACGTTATTTTGTAAAAAAAAAAAAAATATTGTGAAATTATGAAATTAACATAGAATAGAAATAAAAATTTTTGTTAACAATAGCTTCTTAAATGCACAATACGTTTCGTGGCTTTGTCGCGAATGTGCTGGATATCACAAATAGGCATCGGGGGTTAATATATTAAAGTTCTGTACTGCGACACGGAAATCCAGTAAAGCAGTAGCAGGGTTAATCAGTCAAATGAAAATGACAATGACGGTGATCTATAGCGACAATCACGGATGATCAGAGGCCGAAATTGATCAACTGCACTTTGCTACAGTTTCATGCAATTTCTCGTTTGATTTTTAACAAGAAGTTCGTATTTCTTAGACTTGAGTCACTCAATTCTTGAGTTAATTTATTTTTATCAACGACAAAAAACAAAATCGAATATTTTAAATTCCAGCGATTGCTACAATTGCCATTTATTATCCAACGAGGGTTAATTTCATCTTCGTAAACTTCTTAATCAAATTCAAAGTTGAGCCCCAATTTTCAATTCAAAAAAAAAAAAAAAAAAAATCGAAGAAAGAAAGCAGCGAGCAATTGAAGAGGAAATCCATCAATTTCTAAAAAAGGTCGCAAACCTCAACAAACATCGAGCAGTAATAATTAACAATTCTATTCTATAAATTTAACATTCCGTGCATGATGATCGGAGAGTGGCCTCTGAGCGACCCAGGTGACAACCAGTGACTGTCGCGTGCCTTCGAGACTCGATCATTGAAACGCAGCCGGCGTGTACACGCGCGTACTTTTCGAAGCGATCCAAGTTAACAGGAAGAATGAACAGAAGAGAAAGAGAAAAAGAAAGTAACAACAGAAGAAGAAGAAGAAGAAGAAGAAGAAAAGAAACAAGAGAACGAAGTAGTAAGAAGAAGAAGAAGATAAAAAGAAGCCTAGAATAAGGAGTATAACTCGACGATTGTAGCAGCGTAGTCGCGTGAGATATGTCCAACATCGAAGGGAAGAAAAAAAAAAAAAAATGGAAAAAAAGAAAGAGAGGCTTAACACGTCACGTGCTACGGTCACTATATCAGTCTGGTTCGGTTAGGTTAGCTCGAGAAGAGAGTGTAGCATGGCCAGGGGATGAGTCGTGTCCCCTGTGTTTAGTGGTTAACGCGTGTCGATCTCTGGACAAACGAGGACAGCCTGCTGATAATAGTGAAGAAAGGTGCCAGTGAGTAGTTTAGACAGTAGTGGAATGCACTAGTAGACTTCTATGGAGAATTTAAAAAAAAAAGAAACAGAGAGAGAGAGAGAGAGAGAGAGAGAGAGAGAGAGAGAGAGAGAGAGAGAGAAAGAGAATACAGGGATTCTCGCGTATATACCAGCGAGATGGTGATCGATCATGAGCTCGAGGATCGAATTGAGAAGGAGGCGACCTTCTACGGGGTGAATTTATAGAGAGGTACTCCCTTTTTTTGTTTCTCGAGATAAATCTGTCTTTTTT